TGGGATAAATTTTGTAGCCAAAAATTTGAGGGAGTTTCTGTCATAGGTCCTAAATGATTAAAACTTGGAAGTTCCTCTGAATCATTTTTCAAAAACCGTTTTGTTGACATTGAGGCAGCCCGCTCTTATTTAGATTTAGTGGTTAAGCAAAGTATAGTGTCAGAAACGGGTTTACAACCTTGTTGTGTTGATCAGTCAAATATTTTTAGAAACATTGAGCAGCGAAGGTGGGGAGAGTTTGTAAAATCGCCCCAGTCTGCTGTGGTTCCCCATTGTGAGAGAATTTTATACAAATTTGAAAGAGGGGAGCACTAAGAGCTTTGTTCAAAAGAAGATGGTTGCTTTTGATTTTTCCGCCATCAATAAAATTTACAACTTACCAGACATTGATCGGGATGGGTACAACGCTTATGCAGCAGATGATTTAGATTATGATGAGGTTATTGCGACGTTGTGTAAGCCCGATACCCAGTGGAAAACCCGCCGAGAGGAGAAGTTGAGTTTCAAAACGTCTGAGTTAAGTGTGATTAATAAAGTGTGGCTAATTTCATTTGCGCCCGATTCCTTCCCACGACCCATGTGAGCGATGTCAAAAAGGATAGAGCAATCATTCTTTATGCCATTGTAACAGGAAAGTCCATTGATGTGGGGAGAATCATTCAGCAATCCATAAAGCATGGCAAGCGGGCATTGACCACGGGTGGCTTGGGTCACCCTTCGTTGATCACAACTTTATGGAAGGCGGCTAGAGTGGTGTGGGGACCAGATGATGAACTACAGCACCCTGGGCAATTATGGACAGGAACTATATATTTGGCCTAAAAGGATGGGATTCTGATGACAATGCTCCCACTGAGCAAGATAATATAGAGGCTACTTATTTAAGGGATGTCAGGGTGTCGTTGTCTTTGCAGGAGAGATTTGAACGAATGGATAGGCGTTAGCAAAGATAGTATGTCTATCGAAATCAATTTAATGCCCGCCTTATTCAGATGATGATGCAACAAGGATTTAATCAAGGGCCCGAGCCGGTTCAGTTTCCTGATCCGCCGCAGGCCTCTGACGACGATGTTGACGCATGAGGCGACGCGCCACTCAGGGAAGTCTCAATATCCCCTACCCTATTTTTTTTTTCTTTGCTTGTCTTTATGCATTTTCATACATTGGGGACAGTGCATGTTTTAGGTTTGGGGGTGGTGTGATTCCTTGTTGACCTCTAGTAGACAATGATAGCTGGTGATAACAATTGTAGTTTTTGTTCTTGCAAAATAAATTTAAATTATTTTCAAGCATGTTGAAGTTGTGGACTACGGAGTTGGTTTGGCTTTATTTTTTGCCCTTTTACAATCTTATTGAGCACACAATTCTGAGTACTTGTTGTTTAAAAGTTGCGCTTAGCTGGTTTTATCCTTCATGAAAAGCATGCTAAATTTTTGTTAATTCACCATTCGGGTGTGTCTTGTTAGTACCTCATGTCTATGATGATAATTAAGAATTGAGGAAATTTAGCATTTGTTGTTTGCATAAGCCGTGAGCCATTTGTCAATGTATTTGTTTAATAAGGTTTTTCTGCTGGTCTTTCCTAAACTTAAACTTTTAAAACACTACATGAGAAGTCCTTGTCCTAAATGTTTAACAGTTTTTTTGCGCTTCAAATATCTTTTCCCAGTGAGGACCTGCCTCTCATTGTATTTTGCTACTTTATTTTTCAGAAAGACATGTTTATTTTTCTTTTCAGAAGGAAAATGTTATTATAAAAAAATCATAAAAAAAATCACATTCGTATTAAGTTGTTGAAACAGAAAGGAAGTGTTCAGATTCTTTAGTGTTTGTAAAATTTTTGAGTTAGGAAAATATTGGATTTAGAAAACACTTTATCATTTAAACATTCTTGGGCTCATGGTAGCTTGGCTTATAAGAATGAGAGATGCTAAATTTCTGATTTCTTTCCTGAGACGACATATGAGTGAATTCTTGCCTATCCTAGAATTGTGATGCTATTCAATATTTTGCATCTAGTTGTGGATGTGAAATGATTAAGTTTGCTTGTGCGTAAAATTTGTTTTTGGAATGAGAGATGACATTTTATGAAGAATTGTGCACACACATGTATAGGGTTTAAATTAGAAACAAATTAGCTTGTCGGTTAAACATTCTTTGCATTGCTTGACCTTAGTTTAATTTTCTTTTGTAAGTAAGAAAACTTTGTTTTGAAGCTTTGAGTCTATCTATATCCAATGATAGGTTGGCGGTGGGTTTAAATCTCTATTGTATGTCTTTGTTCGAGGACGAGCAAATTGATAAGTTTTGGGGCATTTTGATGAGTAATTTTTTGATTAGTAAATTGGGATTTTTTTTGGTTGTTTGATAGCTTTTGTTGGTTTTTTGTTGGCTAGTTTATTTGTTTTTATGTTGTTATTTGTTTTGTAGGAGTTGAATTAAAGAGGCGGATAAAAAGAAACAAAAGAGATAAAGTTTAGAAGAAGGAAAAAAAGCCGAACATTCTGTCTTTCTTTTCTGCCAACTTTGGCGCCTAGGTGCCCAACGCTTGCAAAATTGGTTGAAAAGGAAATTTTACATCATTTGACTAGAGTTCAGATTTTGAAGGAAAGGACAATAAATACAATGAGTTGGAAGTATTGGAAGGACTTCAACCACACAAAGATAACTTCTCAGAAAATTGCACACAACTTCCTCAACATTTTGAACACCTCACTGCCTTGAAAGATTTGACCATTATAAATTTTGGGGGCATTGAAGTTGTACCAGAATGGTTGAGGAAGCTACGTCTTTGGAAATGTTGAATTTTGAAGATTGCAAAAATTTGAGAGGTCTGCCTTCAAGAGAATGTTGGGTTTGTAAGGTGATTGATTGCAAACAAAGTCTCACATTGACTAGGGAAAGGAATGATCATGGGTATATAAGAGAGGACAATTATCTCTATTGGTATGAGGCCTTTTGGGTGAAACCAAAAGCAAAGCCGTGAGAGCTATGTCCAAAGCGGACAATATCATACCATTGTGGAGATACGTGGGGTACTCTGGGGCTCAGAAGCCATACGAGGCCTCACCAAATTGGAGCATCTGAAAGCTATTACATTGGCTACTTGGCGGACACCACTTGGTACTGGGTGTTCAACTTTTGTCCTTTGCCGTACTCAACCCTCTGCAAGGAAGCTAGCTCAACTCCCAAAAGAAGGCGAAAACCGATGGATCACTAGTCGATTTGTGATACAATTACAAAACTAAATTGACCAGCACAAGAGTAATCTGTGTAGAATTTCTTCTATTACATGAATAAATTTTGTACGTTTCTCGAAAAATATCAATTTTAATCTTCAGTTGGTGTACTATATATGTATCACAATTTCAAATAAATTTGGATAAGTATGGTAATATTCACCTCAAACTTTAAGAACTGTCTTTCAATTGTTTTTATTTGAAGAATTATTGAAAAGAATATTCTCGTGTGTATAAAGTAAACTATAAAACATATATTTCGTATGAAATTGATAGAATTACAGCTAGAAGAATGTTAGAACAAGTTTATATACGAGATTGATACAATTTGCAAAGTTTATATATAGGTGTAAAATTTGATTTTCCCCCCAAATTTTTATCTCTTTTGTTCCTTCATTCCATTTCTAATTTCATTGCCTCAGAATTCTCACCTTTGATTCGATAATTTATTTAGTAAATCTGATTCTTCATTAGATCGTCAATTTAAAACTTTACCCAAAAGTGTGTTCAACCTGTAGGGAGCTTTTGGAGTTATTTATTTTGTTATTACTACAACATAATAATATTCTAATACTGTAGAAGTAATAATAAAAATTTTAGCCACATAACTTACTTGATTAAGGTTATCTAAAGACCTTGTCGTAAATTTGAATCTTTATTTCTGAATATGAAACTTTTTGGAGCCCGATTGACAATATAATTTAAATCTTATCTATTTTCTTTGTGAAAAAATCAAAGTTTGTTAATTGTTCTATTATATTTTTTGTGGATTATATCATCAATTTATATTTGATGATTAAGAGGAAAGCTTAGCTGGTCAATTAAGGGACTTTTTGGGTTGAAATTTTACTGTTTGGCTCATTAATTTTTAAAATCCTATGATTGTTCAAAAAATGTGTTTAAATGGTTTTTTTTTATTAAAAAAATGTTTTTAGTTTTCTTTTAATGTGTAATAAGTAACTAAAATATTTGTCATACTTGTAAATATAAATAATTTTTTGATGGGACAAATGTGACCAAATATTTGAAAATTTATTTTTTGACTTGTTTAATCATTTTAATTTTATCATTCCATATTTTTAGATATATATCGATGGTAGATCAAATTAGGTATATCAAGTATATATATATTAGGTATATCAAATTAAGCGTATATATATATCATATCATATCAGTGTTATTAATTTCTTCAGTAATCCAACAAATTAGATAGGTAAATGCTATATCAACATTCATATTATATATATAGGCATTTAATAAAAATCTATAAATAACATACCACAATTTTCTAATAGAAAAAAATTGAACACAATAAAAATAAGTAATACATCAAACTAGTTCATATAAAGTATATAAAGTTGGTATATCGAATCAAATATATCGATGACATATCAAATCATGTGTATATATCAAATATATTGTTGTTTGAATTTTGTGTTCATTAAATGTATATTGGATCTTTACTTTGCACTGGTTGGACCTCCCAATTTTGCTATTTTATGCAACTTTTTGCTACTTTTTGCAAATTCGTATTATTTTTTTACTAGTACCTTTTTTGTCTCTCTTTTTCTAAGAGTAATGGCAATCTAATGAGATTTTTTGATTTAATAAATCATATTATATTTTGGTGAAAGTAAAGAACAAAAGCTTTGTAGGCCCTACCATGTGGAGTTTGAAAGTGGTCAATTGCGTCTGCCGATGTCAAATAAAAAAAGAGGAAGCAATTTGGCTTCTTCTATGCACTTCTCTCTCACTCTACAATTTATGTAACAAATCCTCTTCACTTTTTTATCCCTCTTTCTGATAATTTCGAATTCGATTGCAATTCTTCGGGAAAGTTAGAGCAAAGAAATAGAGATGGCTGAATTCCTATGGACTTTCGCTGTGCAGGAAGTGTTGAGGAAGATTGTGAAAGTTGCAGCTCAGCAAATTGGTTTGGCACGGGGCTTGGAGAAGGAGCTTTCCAACTTGACCAAGTGGCTACAAAAGGCCGAAACCATTTTACGCGATATTAATAGAAAAAAATCACACTCTGATTCGGTGAGGCTGTGGGTGGAAGATCTCCAAGATGTTGTTCATGAAGCTGACGATTTGCTGGACGAGCTTGTTTATGAACATCTTCGACGAAAAGTGGAAATCGGAAAAATTAACAAGGTACGTGATTCTTTTTCAACATCTCATAATGTCTTTCTGTTTCGTCTCAAGATGGCTAAGAAAATAAAAGACATTACTCAAATTTTGCATAAACATTACTGTGAGGCAAGTCCTTTGGGACTAGTTGGTCAAGAATCGACAGAAGCAAATCAGATCGTTCTAAGCCAAATTCGAGACACAACCTCGAATCTAAATTTTGAAGTTGTTGGGAGGGAAGATGAAGTTTCAAACATAGTGAAACTTGTTATTGACTCTAGCAATGAACATCATATGTCCATTCTACCCATTGTGGGTATGGGTGGACTCGGAAAAACAACTTTTGCGCAAAAGATCTTCAATCATGACACAATCAAAGGACATTTTGATAACATTATTTGGGTATGCGTATCTGAACCATTTATAATCATAAATATTTTGGAAGGGATCTTTCAAAGTCTCACCAAGACTTCTAGTGGCTTGAACCATAAAGGAGTTTTACTCGAGAAGATCCAAAAAGAGATGCATGGTAAAATGTATTTTCTTGTGCTTGATGATGTTTGGAATGAAGAAAGTGGTTTGTGGGATGACTTAGGTGATTGTTTAAAACAGATTGCTGGAAAATCTGGAAATTGTATTATTGTCACCACAAGGAGTTTAGAGGTTGCAAACATCGTAGGGACAGTTCCCAGTCATCGTTTAAAAAAATTATCAGATGATCAATGTTGGTTTTTGTTTAAGGAAAGTGCAAATGCGAATCGGCTATCAATGAATCCAAAGTTAGAGATTATTCGAGACATGTTAGTTAAAAAAATTGGTGGCGTACCTCTAGTTGCAAAAGTTTTAGGAGGGGCGACAAAGTTTGAAGGAGACTATGAGAGATGGGTGACAAAAGTTGAAAGTGTTGTAAGAAATATTTCAAATGATGACAAAGATTTTGTTTCATCTATTCTGAAATTAAGTGTGGATTGTCTACCGCTACTCTCATTAAAGCAATGTTTTGCTTACTGTTCAAATTTTGCTAAAGATTGTTTGTATGACAAAGAAAACTTAATTCGAATTTGGATAGCACAAGGGTTTATTCAACCACAGGATCAAGAGGGAGATAATGAAATGACGGAGGAGGATATAGGAGAATGGCACTTTAACTTCTTGTTATCTCGCTCCTTATTTCAAGATGTTACAATGGATAAGAGTGAGAGAGGTATTTACTTTATAATGCATGATTTGATACATGATATCGCGTGCGCTATTTCAAATCATCAAAAGTTGTTGCACGAATTAAGTTCTAGTAACCGGAGTAGAAAAAGTGCAAGAAAGTTGCGCACGTTGATTTGCAATAATCAAGTCATTTATAATGAGTTGGTGGATTGTGTTTCTTTGCGTGTTTTAGTACTTCATTGTGAGAAGACTGGTAACTTACTAGAATCAATAGGTAAGTTGAAACATTTGAGATATCTCAGTATTGCAAATGGTAATTACGTGGATGTATTGCCAGAATCTATTGTTATGCTTTACAATCTGCAGACACTAAAGCTTAGACATATGAAAAGTCTTCCAAAGAACTCGAGAAAAATGGTTAGTCTAAGGCATTTAGAATTTGAACTCAAAAGCGATTTCAGGCAAATGCCCTCACACATGAGCGAGTTGATTCATCTTCAAACACTATCACGTTTTGTAGCAGGGTTTGAAAATGGTTGTAAAATCGAAGAACTTGGACCACTGAAAAATCTCAAAGGTAAATTACAACTTTCATGTCTCGAACGAGTGGAAAGTAAAGAGGAATCAATAGTTGCAAAATTGGTTGAAAAGAAGAATTTACAGGAGCTGATCTTTGAGTGGAGTTCACGTTTTGAAGGAAAGAACAGTAGATACAGTGAGTTGGAAGTATTGGAAGGGCTTCAACCACACAAAAATCTTCAATCATTGACTGTTATAGGTTTTGGAGGCCAAGTTTTGGGTGATGCTATCTTTGTTGAAAATTTGACTGTTATACGTCTTTCTAATTGTAAAAATTGTGAGAGGCTTCCAATGCTTGGACGATTACCAAATTTGGTGGAACTTAACATTAATTCTATGGACAGTTTGAGATGCATAGGAAGTGAGTTTTATGGAAATGGCTCCAACAACCAAGGACATTCATTTTCCAAGTTGAGGAAACTTACTTTCATTTGGTGTCGCAATTTAGAACAGTGGAAAGACGCAGCCGTGGTATCAAATAGCTTTGGATCTCTTCAAACTCTCAGTATTTATGGATGTGGAAATTTGGAAAAACTGCCCAATGGGCTAGAAGGTTGCAGTTCCCTTCGTGATTTGACAGTAGCATACTGTCCCAAATTGAGCTTAAATGTACAAAATTGTCAGAACTTGTCAAATTTGAGGATAGATGGATTGAAGAAGTTGCCATTGGGGTTAGGCCACCTCACTAACTTGAAAGAAATGAAATTTGTTGGATGCATGCAAGATTACGACTTTACTCCTTTCGTAAGCCTACAGTCTCTGATCATAAAGCTTGAGTTGAGAGATGAGTGCTCAGGAAATTGCACACAACTTCCTCCACATTTGCAACACCTCACTGCCTTGAAACAATTATCCATTGGAAATTTTGGGGGCATTGAAGTTCCACCAGAATGGCTGAACAACCTTACGTCTTTGGAAATGTTGAGTTTTGAAGGTTGCGAGAATTTGAGACGTCTGCCTTCAACAGAAGCCATACGACGCCTCACAAAATTGGAGCTTCTGAGTGCTATTAAATGTCCACTTCTATATGGCGGATGCAATCTGATACTGGGTGTTCAACTTTTATCTCTTTGCCGTACTCAACCCTCTCCAACGGTGGTCGCTCAACTCCCTTGGGCGGATCAGGACGACGGATTGACCAGAGAAGGCGAAAAGGATGGATCAACTACCCATCTGTGATCAAACAAGAGATACAAATTTGTGTCCATGAATATTTGGCACTTTTCTGAAAAATAATATATCAATTTTAATCTTCAACTTGGATAGTGTAGGTATAAAATTTGGATATCGATTGTAATATTCATTTTAAACTTTGAATTTGTATGGTAATTTTTACCTTCTAATAAGTTTTCATTTGATAATTCTCATATACCTATAATAAATATAAAACATATATATACTTGATATGAAATTGATAATATTCGGACAAGAAAAATGATATTAGAACTAGTTACTGCATGTTTCTTTTTAATTTGAATGTTTTAGTGGACTTATTCGATTTTGCTAGCTTTTCATTATATTAATGAGATTTTTACATTATTTTATTGTAAAATTAATGGAGTAATTAGTAAAAATTGAATAGAGGATAAAAATTGAAACACAACCTATTTAAATTTCTGACCAGTTTAATGAAATTGAAACCTTGAGTATACTTTGATGAAATGGAAAGTTTTTTGGCGAGATTGATACAATTTGCAAAGTTTAAGCTTGAAATTTGATTTTCCCCCTAATTTTTATCTTCTGTACCTTTATTCAATTTCTAATTTTGTTGCCTCAGAATTCCAAAGTTTGATCTGATTTGATTGTATGTATAGTATATCTTATTCTTGAGTAGATCGTCAATTTAAACTTACCAAAAAGTGGGTTCAAACAGTAGGGAGCTTTTTGAGTATTTATTTGTTTTTATTAATGTTCAACTTCGATAGCTCGCAAACTCCCCCACATAGAGATCATTTTGATTAAGCTTCATTTCTATTAATCAGGAAGTATGCAAGGAAATGATTCAATTCCAAAGCTAACGATCGTAGTTCTCGAACGAACAATCAAAAAGATTTTGGAAGTATTCTCACGTTTAGGTATTGCTCCTCCAATGATCGTAGTATCAAGTATTTTTTGTCGAGCTTTAATATGATCAGATTTATAAAGTAAGGCAAAATATGAGCAACATCAAATTCTTCTAGAGCCCAAACCTCTATTTCTCTCACCCGTTGTCCACCTTGCTTGACCCTTCCTCTAAGGGGTGTTGTGTGTAACAAAGTGCATAATTCCACCACGGGAATGTCCGTGTATTTTGTCATCAACTTGATGAATTAGTTTAAAGATATAAGACTTTCTATCCTAGCAGGTTGTTGAAAAGGATTTCTCATTCTTCCATCAAATATTATGTTTTTTCTTGAATACTCCGGGTTCAAATACCCATGCACTTGTTGTTTGGTTACTGGTTTCATATAATTTAGAAAAGACTAGTTTTCTAGGGGCTCCTATTCATATCTCTCATCAAAAGATACTATTCGATAATGTCCTATCTAGCAAACTCCCGTTAACTCGGGTGAGCACTCAAATATCTGTCGTGCATTCATTTGTGAGGGGACTCTAATGGACTGAAAACCATATCAGCATGTCTTCCATTTTGCAAATAAGGCATATATTCTATAGACAAAATTCTGGAAACAATTCTTGAATTTCCATGTCTTCCAGCTACATTGCATACTTTGATTTCACGTTTCTGTAAACTATATATACGAATCATATTTTTGGATTATAACTCGATTTTTCTTTTTGTTGAATTTTGTTCATTAATTTTTATGTTGTGTGATTGTTAAAAATTGTGTTTAAATGGTTTTTCTTTTAATTTGTAATGGATTGCTAAAGTATTTTACATATATTGGTAAATATAGCAACAATTTTTGGGTTTGACTGTCTGGAATTGTTAGAACATAAGTGTACATCCGTTACACATAATAAAATGGAATCAGTATTTCGAGTATCGATTCACGAGACTAATGAAACATTTTTTTTTAATAAAAATAATGTTGATCGGTGATTTGCAATTGATTTTGAGGTAACAAATATCAAGAATGAGGTTGGTTATGGTATTTAAAAACCCAACGAAATAAAGCATCGTAGTTACTTTCGAATTAGCTAAAAATTGAATACTGGAAAATTTTTTTATTTTTCTTGAAAATTATAAAATTTTATAAAATATGGAAATTTTCGTAGACGATCACCATTTTTTCCCGTCAAAATCGCGCCTCCACCATTTCGTGACAGTTTTTCACTGTCATTGAAAATTCGGTTTTCGTGACAGTTTTTCATAAAACTAACAAAATCCGAAAAGTTTAGTTTTTTCCTGTAAAAAAGGCGCCCTTTGATTTGTGACAATTTTTTTCCCTCCAGACTGTTTTACTGTTCACAATTGTCATGAAAGACCATTTTTCTAGTAGTGGACGTATTTAAGTTTTAGAGTCTAGTTTCACGAAATTGAAAGTTTATTGAGAAGATTGATATTGTCGCAACGTCATTGCGACGCGAAGCGACCAACGTCGTCTCCTGAAGGCTCTCTTTCAAGATAAGGGTTTAGAGTCGCCACCAATCATCTACGATGTGTGATTGCTCACCTAGCTAATTAAAAAAAAAACTTGATCTGCGAAAAATAGATTTTTTGTTCGAGAGTCGATTGAGCGTAGGGGAGGTGCACCCTACGACACCCGTTTTAAAAATAGGACATATTTTTGTCTAAAATTATCCTGTAATTTTATTTGGTTCAAAATAAAAATATTTCTGAGTTTTTATTTAAATGTGTCCCACAATCTATTAATTCACACTTCGTAATAAGATATGAATTGATAGGCGTGGGTGACACAAAAACCATTAGAAAAATTTATCACCTCGACAGTATTGGAAAGACTCCAATCTCTATCATTGGAGTTTTCTAAATAATTATTTAAAACTAAATAATAAATAATGATAAGTAAAATAAAGGGCTTTGTTTATACGCACAAGAAGTTAACCAAAATCATAAATTTCAACACTCAAGCCTCTTGTCATTGTAACATCAATAGCATAAAAAAAATATTAATAAAAATAATTAGTTCGAAAATCCAAGACTTGAATACTCCACAATATTTAAAGATTACAACTAGTAATAGACCATTCAAAGATCAAAACTTCAAACATCCATGATCACAACTTAGATCTAAACATTATAATCTTAAGTATCAGACAACCACATGATTTCTAAACAACGATCATAAAACTCAAATCGAATTCCCAACATAAATATCCAGATACCAACATAATTTCAAGGTATAAACCAAATACCTAAATTATTAGAAAGCTTAAACTAGTTTTTTTAGAGGAGGAAAAAAAAAGAAAAAAAAATCTACAAAATCTAATCCTTGAAATGATGCATTAACTCTGAAATATTTAAAAAAAATGCAGAATTCGACAAAATATTTTATCACAGAGGAGTACGATTTTAATAAATAATTGTGTCACCAACCTAACTATTTGGTACCAGGAGCGGATGCACATTGGGACAGGGGCACGTGCCCCCAGATTTAAAATATATATCTTTTGAAGTACACTATGTACTAATGAATTGACGATAAAGGAGGATCTCATCTTGTTTAGATGGAATATTGTCACTCTTCACAAATCACAAGGGGGTCTTGCATTACAAGCATTGGCATCACAAACGAGGCTCTAGTTATAAAGTGGTTGTGGCACTTTTTCAATAAAAATAACAGTCCATGGGTTTCTTTGATGTACAACATCTTCGAGAGATTCTTCCCACCACATGCAAATTCAGTAGCTCAAAAGCTCCTTGGTTTCATATTATTAAAATGACGAACATCTTTCACAGAACGACAACGTGGGAAATTGGCAATGGCAGAGATATGTATTTCTGGTATCATAATTAGACCGGTAACGGACCCCTGTACCTAGCTAAACCCAGATTTTATGCTCTCACAGACAAAAAAAAAAAAAAAAAACAAAAAACAAAAAAAAACAACTCTGTTTTTGAAGCTTGGCAATTTGGCTGTTCGAATTTCCTCCCTTGCCGTCCTATGCTTGACAGGGAGCTAAACAATTGGGCCATTTTTACATCCTCTTTCAAACAGCCCTCTGATTCTAAAGGCCTTGATAAAATCATTTAGGGAGCTATTTCTAATGGAGCATTTTCGGTACAGGATATGAAATCCCTCCTATCAGGACCGTCACAAACTGATCAATCATTTTTCTTTGACAATTTTTGGAGCCTTCTCATTTCGAAAAAATACAAATTCTTTCTTTGGTGCCTTCTCCACAGAAGTCTCAATACAACAGATAAGATACAAGCTCAGTTTCCATCAATGGTAAGCTTTCCAAATTGGTGTGTTTCATGCTATCAAAATGGCGAATCCTTAGATCACTTATTTCTTCATTGTTCATTCACAACTGCTCTTTGGCCGCACATCCTAAATATTTTTCAGATACAAATTACTTTCCCAGAACTATTGAGACAATTTTATTATCGAGCTTTTGTCAAAGCCTCTCAAAAGCCAGCGCAAGATCCTTTGGAGTAACGCCATTGGATCTCTTATGTGAAACATATGGTTGGAACGAAACAACCGCATTTTATCGGAGATTATTAAATCTAAGGCTTCGCTTTGGGAGGACATCAATATAAATGCCTCATCTTGGTCCTCCGAATCAAAAACTATGTACTAATGAATCATGTATGTTGGGTGGTTTTCTACCACACCAGGAGTAATATAAACAATTTACTATTAAATAACTATGTGAAAACTTACGAATAAGTTAAAAAAAAAAACCTTCGTTGCTATTTTTGTCTGAATCTATCAATTTTTCATTAATTTTTTTTAATTTATTTGACAAATGAAAATATTATTTTCAATAATTTTTCAAGTGAAAATCTATCGAATGATAAATGTTGCTGTAAGGTGAAAATTGATACATATTGCTAAGTTAAAGTTGAATAATTTTTCATTATATTTATTTGCATTTGTGAACCTAACCTGAAATTCTGGATACGCAACTGTTTGGCACCATAATCAAAATATTTATCACAATAATAACTAATTGCAGTTAAAATAATTTAAAAAAAAAAAAGATCTACAAAGTCTAAATGTATATCAACTTCACGGAATATTAATTCTACAACTTAAAATAATAAGACTATAAACGTATAATCCTACAAATTCGTTAATATTTTATAATTGGAAAAATCCTAAAATATCCCATCATGACATTTTGTTAAATACTTGTTAAATCTTCCCAAAATCTTCCCATGCAGAATTATAAAATATTAATTCAAATCTGTGTATCATAAAAACTTAAAATGGAGAACTTTTAAATACCTACAAAATTAAGATAAAAAAACTAACCAACACTATTGAAAATCATGAATTGTATGCACATTCACGAAATAACAACATACCAAATAAATATAAATAAATATTAAAGATCACGTTTTCTTCACATTTGCTCACCTGAGCGTTTACTGGTCAGAGTGTTGTTTAGCTGTAAAGTTTGAAATTGGATTGAAGCTGGTTTGTCAAAGGATCTGCACCGCCGGAATTCAGATCGTCGCGTAGAAGGAAAGGTCGTCGCAGGTTATCTCGAGTTGAATCCTATCATCGTTGGTATGGTGAGTCGTCGTCGTCAGAGTGGGTATCGTCGGAGTTTGAGAGAATGCTGTTAGATTATTCTACTCTTCTCTTCTCCTCTCTTATGTCTCTCTCTGTGTTGTTTATCTCCCCTATGTGTCTCCTCTCTTAAATAGTCAGATTTGCAACGATAACAAAACTTAAAAAGTGGGGAAAGATGAAGGATAAAAGGCCACGTAACAAGGAGAAAACTAAAAAAAATCAAATATTAGTTTTAGTAAAAAAAAAATATTCTTTTTAAATTAAAACAAATACTTTTATTTAACAAAATTGATCCTTATTTTAAGACCAAATCCTTTTTAATTTTTAAATCAAATTCTTTTAAAACAGAAATCTGTTTTTAAAATTTAATTTAATTAAAATCTTACTTTCTTTAACAAAAACAATTACATTAAAACTTTATGTTATTTTAACCAAACAATTAAATAACACCTACTAAAATAAATAATAATAATTTTTTTTAATAAAAGAAACCCAACCAAATATGATGTCTACACATACAATTTGCAAAATTTATAGGTGTAAAGTTTGACTTCCCCCCAAATTTTTATCTTTTGTTCCTTCATTCCATTTCTAATTTCATTGCCTCAGAATTCTCAACTTTGATTCGATATGATTTGTTTAGTAAATCTGACCCTTTCTTCAATTTAAAACTTTACCAAAGAGTGGGTTCAACCTTAGAAGTTTTGGAGTTATTTATTTTGCTATTAATATACAACTCAGTAATGCTCTAATATTATAGAAGTAATAATTAAAATTTTAGCAACCCAACTTACTTGATTAAAGTACCTATCTAAAGACCTTGCGGTAAGTTTGAATCTTAACTTCTACATGATGTTCAGTTCTGAATATGAAACTTTTTGGAGGCTGATTGACAATATAATTGAAATCTTATCTATTTTGTTTTGTGAAAAATTAAAGTCGGTAAAATTATTTTGTTATATTTTTTTGTGGATTATATTGATGATTAAGAGGAAAGCTTAGCTGGTCAATTAAGGGACTTTTTGGGTTGAAATTTTACTGTTTGGCTCATTAATTTTTAAAATCCTATGATTGTTCAAAAAATGTGTTTAAATGGTTTTTAGTGTATTAAAAACAAATGTTTTTACCTTCCAAAAAAAAAAGAAACAAATGTTTTTAGTTTTTTTTTTATTTTGTAATAAGTAACAAAAATATGTGCCAAATATAAAATAATTTTTTTTTATTGGAAAAATGTGACCAAATATATTAAAATTTTGAACAATTAATACAAAAATATAAAAATAAGGAGAGAGTAACAAATACAGTAAACAATATCAACTAAATAAATACAAATAGTGTGAACAAATAAGGTATATATTTTGTGAACAATTAAGACAACAATATAAATCACTCTACCTGAAATAAAAAAAGTACATAAACTATAGAAATTCAATATATAAGCCTCCCTCTCATTTCCAGTTGCAACCCACTGCGTTGCTCACTGTTGTTCCCTCGATCCTCTCCCGTCAACTCGACTCTGATAGATTCCCTCTCTGATCGTCTCCCTCAATGTGATGTCTCCTTATAATTGGCGAATTCTATATCCATATATATCTAAATTTATAATAATAGTGGTTAGGAAAAAAAAAGCTAAAATCAAGGGGAGGTAAAATATAGGCGACATAATGAAAGTTAGGATATTTTGATTTTTAAACTAATAACTAAAAATAGAAGAGTAAAAGTGTCAAATATGAAACTTGAACAGGTAGAATAATACAAATGGACATTTTTTATTATTGTACCATTTTTTAATATGCTTTCATAGATAGGACACCTACCTAAATCCTCAAAACAAAAGGTTTGTTAGGCCCCACCATGTGGAGTTTGAAAGTGGTCAATTGCGTCTGCCGATGTCAAATAAAAAAATAATTAAAAAAAAAAAGAAGAGAAAGCAATTTGGCTTCTTCTATGCACCTTCCCTCACTCCACAATTTAGCTTACAAATCCTCTTCACTTTTTGATCCCTCTCTCTGATAATTTCGATGGCAATTCTTTAGGAAAGTTAGAGCAAAGAAATAGAGATGGCTTATTTCCTATGGACTTTTGGCTTAATTCCTATAGACTTTTGGTGTGCATGAAGTGTTTGAGGAAGATTGTGAAAGTTGCAGTTCATGTTAGAAAATTAAACATGTATTATTCTAGATACATAATGCATATACATTTCTCAGTACATGATATATTTACATGAACTAGTATATTCATGTATTTATATAAGTTAATTGTGTGTTCATGTATGTATAGATTCAAATGATGGAGTTTATGGATCTAAATCTTTTCGTGGAGTCCTATAAATAGGATGGTCATTTGTTGTATTTCAAACAAGTGTGTGGAGAAGAAAAACAAGAGAGTTTGAGAGAGTTTGTGAACCAAGTGTGTATTTTGTGAGAAATTTTCAATACAAGTAAAATTGTTTATTCTCAAACGAGTCTTGTTGATTCTAAATTAGCAAGTGTCCATCACACGCTTCCAACAGTTCAGCAAATTGGTTTGGCATGGAGCTTGGAGAAAGAGCTTTCCAAGTTGACCAAGTGGCTACAAAAGGCCGAAACCATTTTACGCGATATTAGTAGAAAAAAATCGCACTCTGATTCCAGCTGTGGGTGGAAGATCCCCAAGATGTTGTTCATGAAGCTGATGATTTGCTGGACGAGCTTGTTTATGAAAATCTTCGATGCAAGGTGGAAATCGGAAAAATGAACAAGGTACGCGATTCTATTTCAAGATCCTATAATCTCATTTCGTTTCGCCTCAAGATGCCTAAGAAAATGAAAGACATTACTCAAACTTTGCATAAACATTACTGTGAGGCAAGTCCTTTGGGACTAGTTGGTCAAGAATCGACAGAAGCAAATCAGATCGTTCTAAGCCAAATTTGAGAGACAACCTCGAATCTTAATTTTGAAGTTGTGGGGAGGGAAATTGAAGTTTCAAACATAGTGAAACTTGTTATTAACTCTAGCAATGAACATCATATGTCCATTCTACCCATTGTAGGTATTGGGTGGACTTGGAAAAACAACTTTGACGCAGATGATCTTCAATCATGAGGCAATTAAAGGACATTTTGATAACACTATTTGGGTATGCGTATCTAAACCATTTATAATCATAAATATTTTGGAAGGGATCTTTCAAAGTCTCACCAAGACTTCTAGTGGCTTGAACCATAAAGGAGTTTTACTCGAGAAGATCCAAAAAGAGATGCATGGTAAAATGTATTTTCTTGTGCTTGATGATGTTTGGAATGAAGAAAGTGGTTTGTGGGATGACTTAGGTGATTGTTTAAAACAGATTGCTGGAAAATCTGGAAATTGTATTATTGTCACCACAAGGAGTTTAGAGGTTGCAAACATCGTAGGGACAGTTCCCAGTCATCGTTTAAAAAAATTATCAGATGATCAATGTTGGTTTTTGTTTAAGGAAAGTGCAAATGCGAATCGGCTATCAATGAATCCAAAGTTAGAGATTATTCGAGACATGTTAGTTAAAAAAATTGGTGGCGTACCTCTAGTTGCAAAAGTTTTAGGAGGGGCGACAAAGTTAAAAAAATTAGTGGTTAAATAGGGTTTTTACCCCTAGTTTTTTTTAGCACAATAATTTAGGGATATGAGGATCGAACTTCCAACCTCGAGAGAAAAAGTACATGCCAATTGCACTTGATAGCATTCGATTCGAACTATATTTTATAATAAATATAATGAAATTAATTTTTATTTTCCATTTCTTTATCATAAATTTACACGCATAAATGTTATTTTGTAGAAATAAGGTACCAAGAAGAATCAGGACATCAAATTGATCAAATAGAATGAAAAGTTGTAGCATGAGCAAGTTGAGAAAGCCCCACAACATAAGTTACGGCTAGAAAACCCGAGGGGGTAGCATAGCGTCTCAAAGCTCAAATGATGAAGCCCAGCAGATGGCCGGCAACGTTAGCATTGAGACGCTACATCAGAGCGTCTCAACGCTACGATGAAAGGCGAAACAATTGATGCTTCACGTCGTAGTATCTCAACGCTCCCTATAGTGTCTCGATGCTACGACCCAGATTCGGTTTCTGCCAGTATTTAGGGCACAGTGTTGAGACACGGTCGTGCAAATTTCTATAAATTTGAACCCTCGTGATCAATTGAAGGGAGGATCCAACAAAGGAAAATTGGAGCATATTTTGAGGAAGAAGTTGGGTTTTGAAGATCAATCGTGGAGATTGAGTCGCGGCCGATCAATCAACACGACAGATTCACTTTCTATCTCTTTTCTTTTATTTTTCTAGTTTAATCACGAACACGAGTAGCTAAATTTGCTTGTCTTAGGGATTGATATAGCCATTGACGTTTATGGATTTATTGTTTGATTTTCTTAATTAAATCCATTTGATTATTCTATTTATGTTTCTCTTTGCTTCATGTCTTTAATCTACTGTTTATAGATTAATTGATCTTAGACTTGCAATCTTACGCTCGGGAGAGTTGGTTGAGAGTTAATAACTAAGATTCATAATTAGTTTTAAGATCGGGAGATTTAAAATTCTTTTAGAGGTGGTTAAGAGACTTGTTTGTTAAAGTCTTTACTTGTTACAAAACTAAATAGGGATATTGGTTTAGTAATTTAGTAAAGGAGACTTGACTTGCGCTTGGGAGAGACAGTTGAGGTTTGAGAGTTTTTGGCCTATAGAATTGATAATTGGTTCAATCTTGTAATTAGTTCATAGATTCAATTGGTGAAATTTATTCCCTAATATCGTTTTCCTATTCACCTTACATTCTTTAATTATAATAGTTTGTGTTATTTGCTTTAATTATCATATCACAATATTCTAGTTTTTAAATAAAATTGGAAAAAAGTATTTGCGGTAATTGAAGTGATCTAGAAACCCAATCCTGATAATAATATCGGTATTTACTTACCAACTATATTAAAACTTGACTCATACACTTGTGGTTAACAATTTTTGGTACAACATCACTAGTTTTTTCTTTGTAACGGAGATGTAATGAGATTAAATTAATTAATTAATTATGTTATAATTAACTACTAAGTACTAACTTGGTACGATAATGTATATAAATATTCAAAATTCTGTCATCTATTTATTAATTAAATTAATGATTTTATAAAAGAAATGAAAAAATATACCATTACATGTCTATTTGGTTCATGAAGTTTCAAAATGGATGCTTTTAGTCTTAAGAAATAGTTCTAAATAGTCTATAAATTATTATGACCATTAGTTGACTAATACTAAAATGATGATGCAGTTAAATTGATGACTGTATTTTTCTAATTCGGTAAAATATATTAATTTAATAATTTATTTAGATGACTGGACTTTTTTTTTTCAAATTATTTCCATCCTTCCATCTTCTTCCTCTCTTTTCAGGTGAATTTTACCACCGGCCACCGGGCGCCGTCTTTCTCGTCGCAAGGCTTCGAAAAGATCTCTGATTTTATTTTGTGGTTTTTGTTCAGAAATAATTGTTTTGTCGTCCATCGCAAGAATAGATCAACGAAAAAGGGGAAATGAAACTGTATTGATGGGATGACAGTTGTTTAACCCTGAACCTTGAAGACACGTAATTCCATCAATTTAGTCAAAGGCGGAGTTATCTGAGCACGAAGTCCAGTCATGATCGCACTGGACACTCGATCGGGCTGGTTAGATAAACGGTTTACTCCACTACACCGTAACCATTGCTCCCCACTCAACACGCAGGTTTTCTATTTTCATGAGAGGGGACCATTTAATTTAAAATAGGAGCCAAACTACTCAAAGGTCATTTTTCCTTTTTCATCTATAAATACCACCTGGGAAAATGAAGACGGTATGTGAAAAAGACTAACTAATACACTTTCATATTTTTTACTTGGCACACTCGATAAGAACAACAGGATTTGTTTTGGTTTCAGTGTTCATCGTATAATTGAAATTCCCAAACCCAAACCATTTGTAAATCTGGATTGAAATTTTAATTTCAGTTTCTAAGGTTAGATTCAAATTTGTGTGTGGTTCTTCCAAAATCTCTGTATTCACTCTCTCTTCCTTTCACACCTAAAAATTACAAAAAGACAAAAACGAAAAAGGCAAACTTCGTGGATTGAGGAAGAGATAGGGAGCTCTTCCTCTCTCCTTTGTTCCACATCTGGAACGTGGAGAGAGCTCCCCTCTCTCCTTCAGAAAGGGGAAATTCAGAAAGCTCCCCTCTTTCCTGCATTCCCCCTTCGTTGAAGAGGTCGGCTAAGTTCGTCGGAGGTTGGTGGTGGTGGTAGCAGCGGTTCCAACTGACGATGAGGGAGACAGCGGGCGGCGGCCGGTGGTGAGATTCACCGGAGGAGAAGAGGAATTAGAAGATGAAAGAATAGAAATAATTTAGGAAAAAAAAAAGTCTTAGTCATCAAAATAAATGGTTATATTTTGTTAAAGTCATCCATTTAACTACGACATCATTTTAATATTAGTCGATCAAAGTAGGTAAATGATCCTTTATAACTATTACTCAAACTCAAAGACACCGTTTTGAAACTTGAGCAACCAACTAGAGGTTACTCGAGCAACCAACTAGAGGTTACTCTAAATCTCATGGACCAAATATCTATTTTTGGATTTTTTTTTTAAATTAATTTAAATTATGGTTTACCTCACTCAATCAATATCTACATTGATTATGCAGATCAACACAAATCTACCACGATAACTTTGATTCATCTTAATCAGTTATGTGTGTGTATATATATATATATATATATATATATATATATATATTTTAAAGAAAATAAGTGAAAAACACATTTTTGGAAAATGTGGAGGCTCCCTGGTTCGATCTCTTGTATCAGAGTCATGTCCCTAACTTAGTTATGTTAGTATAATACTCAAGTGCCAAACAAAAAAGTGATAATTCTCGAAAGATATAGTCATGGTATATATAATCTATGGTTGAGCCCTATTAGATACGCCGTCTCTTATTTGACTTAGATAAGAGTTGGAAAGATGAATGACTATTTGAGAGATGCTTGCTGGTGAGTTTTGAAAGATGTACTGATCATGACGTGATATGTGGTTAATTTCTATCAGGTGATGTCTTTAGCGGGATAAGAATTGAACAATTGAATAACTATTTGAAGGGAGATTCGAAAGTACTTTGTCATAAGGGAGTATTGTTGGGAATACGACAAGTCCCAAATCGGTTAAATAAAGAGAAGTTCGTAGGTATATATTATCTGAAACAACATCTTAAATAAAGGTTAGTGGTCAGGTGAAAGGGAGGTCGAGAGAAAAATCGAAAGGAGACACACTCGCATGCTCACGTACACAAACCGACGGGCCACCATGGGCAGAATAATGTGTGAAATTTGTGTAAATAGAAATTAAAATAGCCAATATAGGTCAACATAATTCACCTCTGCTCTTATGGTTGTTGTCAAGTATATGTCATGGTTTATTAAATTAAAAAAGTTGGGTTGGCCGTTAGTTCTTGTTTAAACCCAATTATGTGCCTATTTTATTACATTGTGTGCAATCCTAATTTGGAACCATTCTCCGGGAGATTGAGAAATGAGGCAGAATTTTGTTACACTCTTTTTTTCTACGGCAATCGAGGGTGGAAAAATCTACATAAGAGTTTGTTTCTTTCTTCTTGTATTTTGTCCATTGTTTTCATCTTCTTTGTGGGTTGTTCAACTTAGGGCTTGAGTTTGTTATTCTCCCTCATTCCATTTGTATTGTTCTTAGATATTGAAGCTAATATAAGTTTGCTTTCTCACCTTGCACACTAATTTCTCATCTTGCACATTGGACCACATTGGTCGAACCACTACGTCGTCTTCTCTTTCTTTACTTGATTTAGTTTTAATATTTTTTGGTGGATTATTTGGATGTTGAATAATATTTTGATAAATTTTAATATTGTTTAGTGGATTATTTGGATGTTGGATAATATTGTTTGACGAAAGGAGCAGTAAATATTGACGTGTTTTACACCACAGTTCTCATAACGTCCGAGTTTTGTATTAAAAAAAGACTTTGGATCTTTGAAAGTCGTCCAATTGCGCGTGCCGTGTTAAAGTCAAACAAAAAGAAAGGGCGACGCGTGAAGGCCTGCTGCTGCTGTGTCCATCTTGTCAAAGCAATATGGATTTTTCTACGCGCCATAATTCCCTCTAAATTTACAATTGTACAAATTCTCTTTGACTTTTTGATCCTTCTTTCTGACTATTTCGATTGCAATTCTTCGGGAAAGTTAGAGCAAAGAAACAGAGATGGCTGAATTCCTATGGACTTTTGCAGTGCAGGAAGTGTTGAGGAAGATTGTGAAAGTTGCAGCTCAGCAAATTGGTCTTGCATGGGGCTTGGAGAAGGAGCTTTCCAAGTTGACCAAGTGGCTACTCAAGGCCGAAACCATTTTAGGGGATATTAATAGGAGAAAACTACACCATGATTCCGTGAGGCTGTGGATGGAAGATCTCCAAGATGTTGTTCATGAAGCTCACGATCTATTGGATGAGCTTGTTTATGAAGATCTTCGACGAAAGGTGGAAATCGGAAAAATGAACAAGGTACGCGGTTCTATTTCAAGATCCTATAATCTCTTTTCGTTTCGTCGCAAGATGGCCAAGAAAATGAAAGACGTTACTGAAACTTTGTATAAACATTACTGTGAGGCAAGTCCTTTAGGACTAGTTGGTGATGAATCGATAGAAACAAATCAGATTGTCCTAAAGCAAATTCGAGAGACAACCTCAAATCTTAATTTTGAAGTTGTGGGGAGGGAAATTGAAGTTTCAAACATAGTGAAACTTGTTATTGACTCTAGCAATGAACATCATACGTCGATCATACCTATTGTGGGTATGGGTGGGCTCGGAAAAACAACTTTGGCACAAATGATCTTCAATCACGAGGTGATCAAAGGACATTTTGATAAAACTATATGGATATGTGTGTCTGAACCATTTATTATCATAAATATTTTAGAAGGGATCTTTCAAGGTCTCACTAAGACTTCCAGTGGCCTGAACTCTAAAGAGACTTTAGTTCAAAAGCTCCAAGAAGAGATGCATGGCAAAAAGTATTTTCTCGTGCTTGATGATGTTTGGAATGAAGAAAGTGGTTTGTGGGATGACTTAGGTGATTGTTTAAAACAGATTACTGAAAAATCTGGAAATTGTATTATTGTGACCACACGAAGTTTAGAAGTTGCAACCACCATAGAGACTGTTTCGAGTCATCATTTGAAAAAATTATCAGATGATCAAAGTTGGTTCTTGTTTAAGGGAAGTGCAAATGCGAATGGACTATCAATGAATCCAAAGTTAGATATTATTCGAGAAATTTTGGTTAAAAAAATTGGTGGCGTACCACTAGTTGCAAAAGTTTTAGGAGGGGCAATAAAGTTTGAAGGAGACTACGAGACATGGGTGAAAAAAGTCAAAAGTGTAGTAAGAAATATTTCAAAGGATGACAAAGATTTTGTTTTATCTATTTTAAAATTAAGTGTGGATTGTCTCCCACTACTCTCATTAAAGCAATGTTTTGCTTACTGCTCAAATTTTTCCAAAGATTGTGTATTCGACAAAGAAAACTTAATTCAAATGTGGATAGCACAAGGGTTCATTCAGCTACACGAAGGACATAATGAAACGACGGAGGAGGATATAGGAGAGTGGCACCTCAACTTCTTGTTGTCTCGCTCCTTATTTCAAGATGTTGTTAAGGATATGAATGAGAGAGTTACTCACTTTAAAATGCACGATCTAATACATGATATAGCTTGTGCTATTTCAAATCATCCCAAGTTATTGGAATTAGGTTCCAGTAATTGGAGTAGAAAAAGTGCAAGAAAGTTGCGCACGCTGATTTGCAATAATCAAGTCATTTATAATGAGCTGATGGATTGTGTTTCCTTACGTGTTTTAGTCCTGAACTCTGCGAAGACCGATAACTTACTAGATTCAATTGGTAAGTTGAAACATTTGAGATACCTCGATATTTCACACTATTCAATAAGAGTACTTCCAGAATCTATTGCAAAGCTTTACAACCTGCAAACACTAAAGATTGGACGTATGGAAAGCCTTCCAAAGAACTTGAGAAAAATGGTAAGTCTAAGACACTTAAAATTTTACCACGGTTACCATACCATGCAAATGCCTTCACACATGAGCCACTTGATTCATCTCCAAACACTATACGAGTTTGCAGCAGGGTTTGAGAATGGTTGTAAAATCGAAGAACTTGGGCCATTGAAAAATCTCAAAGGTAGATTGCGACTTTCAAATCTCGAGCGAGTGAAAAGTAAAGAGGAAGCCATAGCTGCAAAATTGGTCGAAAAGAAGAATTTACACGAGCTAACCTTCGACTGGAGTTTAGATTTCGAAAGAAACGACGACGACTCTGAAGTATTGGAAGGACTTCAACCACACAAAAATCTTCAATCATTGAATATTATGAACTTTGGAGGCCAAGTTCTGCCTGAAGCTATCTTTGTTGAAAATTTAGCTGTGATACGTTTGTGTGGTGGTAAAAAATGTGAGATGCTCCCAATGCTTGGACAATTACCCAACTTGGTGGAACTTGAAATTTCTTTTATGGACAGTGTGAGATGCATAGGAAGTGAGTTCTATGGAAATGGTTCATTTTCCAAGCTGCGGAAGTTTGATTTCATTGGGCTGCACAATTTAGAGCAATGGACAGAAGCAGCATCCATATCAAACAGCTTTGGATCTCTTCAAACTCTAAATGTTATTGGATGTGGAAATTTGAAAAAACTGCCAAATGGGTTAGAATTTTGCAGTTCCCTTCATGATTTGACAGTACGAGACTGCCCCAAATTGGCCTTAAATGTACAGAATATGCATAACCTGTCCAATTTGTTCATTCATGGATTCAAAGAGTTGCCTTTGGGGTTATCCCATCTCACAAACTTGAAAGAAATGGAAGTTGTTGGATGCATGCAAGATTACGACTTTAGTCCTTTTTTAAGCCTACAGTCTCTCATAAAGCTTCACTTGAATGATGTCTCAAGAATCTGCACAGAACTTCCTCAGCATTTTGAGAACCTCACTGCATTGGAAACTTTAACGATTGTGAATTTTGACGCCATTGAAGCTCTACCAGAATGGTTGGAGAACCTTGCATCTTTGGAAACGTTGAATCTTGAAGATTGCAAAAATTTGAAACGTTTGCCTTCGAGAGAAGCCATGCTACGCCTCACCAAATTAGAGCATCTGAAAGTTTTTAGATGTCCACAGCTACCGGGAAGAGGCGACCTGCTGCAGAGAGCTAAACTTTCTCGGTAGACCTTCTTTCGTCTTAGCCATGGAATCAAAGAGCTTGTGATTGTGAGTTACCTTCGTTGGGTTCTTTTACTTCTTCAACGAAGTTAGTTCAAGATTCTCGGCAAATCGATTAAAGACAGACTGACTGATCAAAGGGAAGCAAAGGATGAATCACCGGTTGATCTATGATCAAACAAAACTATACGTGAAGAATGTGATGTTGATTGACCGGTACGAAAGCAATCTCTAATTTGATCTATGCTTAGTGTGTATATATTTTTATTCTAAACTCTCCGTATCAAATTTCATTGTAAATTTGGATAAATGTTGTAATTTTCACCTTAAAGCTTTATTAAGTATGGCTTTTACTTTTTAATAAGTTTTCATTTCAACAATCATTAAAAGTAATATTCTCATGAGCATCCGCAACGAACTATCAAACATATATTTGAGATTAATAGGATTTAGAGACAAAAATGTTATTAGAGCTTTTTTCCTTTAATTTGTAAGTTTTAGTGAACTTATTTAATAGTCGATTTTTGTGCATTAAAAAAAATTAATTTTGTGCAAAGTTCTTTTTTCGGGTTCAAATTCACAATCTCTTAGTTAGAGATATATGTCAATTACTACTAAGCTAGGCTCGCTTTAGCTATAAAGCTTTATTTTCATTATATTAATGAGCGTTTTCTTACATTATTTTTTGTTGTTGAAATTAATGGGTTAATTAGAATAAATTAAATAGTGGATAAAAATTGTACCACTGGTCTAAGTTTAGGGTGTAGGATGATAAATTAAAAGTTTATCATGAAAATTTATACACTTTTATAAATTTAGAGAGAAAAATTGATTTGTTCCCTAATTTTGTTTTATCTTCTTTATCTTTATTCTTTCTATTTCCATTGCCTCACAAGTTTGATCTAATAGTTAGTTTGTATAGTTAATCTTATCCTCAGTAGATTTAGGATGTGTTTGGGAGTCACGCTAAAATTAGTGCTTAAAAAAAAAGAGATTTAAGTATAATTTATTATTTTCCAAAATCGGTGATACCTTAAAAATCAATTTTAAGTGATTTTAAGTTTTCTTAAAATAAATTTTTTAATTTGTCATGATCAATAGAAAGAGAAGTGATTTTGACAATAAGAAAAATGATTTGGCCAAAATCACTCCCAAACACACCCTTAAACTTACGTCTATAATACCTGATTTGATATACTATTGATATAATTGATTATAAGTGTTAATATACCATCAATATCTCTAATATGAATATTGATATACTATTGATATTGATATATAGTTGATGTACTTGATTTAGTATACCATTAATTTACCTAATCACAAGTTAAAATAGTCTCCATTAGGAGGATGATGATCTTCACTTTTGAATATTAATCTCCTTTAGCAGACTGGTTGACCACACAATTTGTAAATTATTTACTTCTTTGTGAAGAATCAAAGTGTGTAATTGATCTTTTTCTTTCTTTTTTCTTTTGAATTATGTCATCGATTTAAGTTTGATAATTAAGTTTATGTGTTGAAATGAATTTTACCAGTATGTTTTTCATAATGAATTAATTATGTTGTATATGTATATGTTTGTATGTATATATATAGCTTGATTGAAGACGTCCAACCTACCTTTTTTTTTCATGAGGCGGGCATTAAAAAGCTATATATATATAGTTTAACTGAAGATATTCGATTGACCTGACTTTTTCAGATGTCCCATCAAGTTCAGACAAGAACATATAAATATTTAAAGGAAAATTTGATGTGTAACATACTCAAAATTTGGTAAAACTCTAGACTTAACTTTCCTTTCTTGGAGCTAAATTTTTTATTTAAATTTCTAATAATTCACTAAATATTATAATTTTAATATTTATGGAAAAAAAATATATAGATGAAAAATGTCAAAATACAAAAGAATAAATTAAATTTTTTTAAACACAAAACAATTCGGTTAGTGTATTTAGTATTTGTAATGGACATAATAGCGATTTATTCTAGAGATAATTTTGGTAAGCAATTCCGTTTTTTATTTTCATTCCATAAGTTTTCTAAAGGAGAAAAATACCAAAATATTAGGATTAAAAGATTTATTTAGCATTTTATTTAATAATCCAAACCTGTTACTTCACGAAGACCGAAGAGTTGATTTGAAGACGAAAATAAAACGAGGCGAAAAAATGGGAGTTTTTCGTCTTCCCGCCCGTCGGTCACCATGGTCAGAACTCGAAGCAAGTCCGCCTCCGTGACTCCCGATCGGAAACCGCTCAAAACCGAACGGCAGTCGGCCGCCACCGCCACCTCCACCGCCACGACGCCGAAAACACCGCTTACCAGTTCCACATCCATCATTCCTTCCTCACTCAAATCTGTATGTTTTCATCGATTTCCCCCGGAGTAGAACGCTTTCTCATGTTTGAGTGATTTATTCTCTTTGTATTCTCACTCGATTAGGTTTTTCTGTACGATTGGTGGCTCGTAAAGGCTGATGATGGTGAGGGATTGGCTGTCGGAGGGTTTGCTTCCAGAGAGTAAGGCATTGCTTCCCCTAACTCTTTCGATTTTTCTGCTTAATTCGTTTTCATTGGTTGTTTTGTGTTCTATGGAGAAACATATAAAATAAAAGATAGAGACGAGACTATGCCATGATTGTGTGACTCAATGTTGCTGCTAAAGATAAATTATTCACAGTATCTATATTCACCGGTTTATCTGTATTCTAATATTTGATAGTGATGTTAATTTGAAAGGAACTTCTCTGTGAATTGGTGAGACTTTGAAATTTATTGAAAAACTGATCGATAGCTAATAAATTGAAGACACTAATTCAACTAAGATGAATAGTCTGATGTAATGCAGTTGTCTTAATTTTAACACAGAAAGTGATCCATGAATTGAAAAGTCTGGCATTGTGAAAATGGATGGTGAAATCTAACTTTTGAAGATTGCTCAGGACAGTCTGGTGCTATAATGATTCCTTCCTCTCCTGTATCCAAAAGGATCGCATAATCTTGAAGTATTAGCCTCCTGGAATTTGTCGTTTGTAAATTTTTGTTCAATATTCTTGTCAGCACAATGGAGGCTATTTCTAAGGTGGTTTCCACGAGAATCTAGATATTCAAACTTCCTAAGAAGGTTAAAATTTTCATTTGGTTGCTTATACATTTTGAAGTTAAAATGTTTGACGTCATCCTGAAAAAAAATTGATATATCATGTTGATCATAAGCTATGAGTTATCCACAAAATAGTGGTGGAATGTCTTTGGTGTTTTCAATTTCAAAGTAGCATAAAAACGGGGATGAGTAATCATCAATGGGTGCTGACAAAAAAAAAGAAATTCAACTGGTGTCAGCTCTCAAATACCAGAGAACTCATTGATCAACTGCTTTCAGGTTACCTGTGAAGGTAGACCCAGATTTTGTTCTTGAAAAGGGAAAGGTTGAAAGAAATTAATAGAACCGCAGAGTATGAAGGCGATAAATGATGAAATCTTCCGAAGGAGAAAAAGTGAAGCCGTTCATTCTTTATGCATGCATTTTTTTTCAAGACTGAGGAATTAAGTTCTTGATTATTGACCTTCCTTCTATTGGTCTGATTGTGTAAAAAGGCAAACTGTTTCCGTTGGCTCATAGATTCAGATCTTATCTGTGCTATTTCTTCTTCATTGTGCTGTGGACCTAGTTGGTTGCACTTATTTCCCTTCTTTTGGGCATGGGGATTAATGCTTTGTGTTCAAAGATTTTTTCTCATTCATTATTGCAGAAGAGCTGGGTTTAGAGTATTTTATTCTGCAGCGATTTCTAAGAGACATGAATCCACCACTCTTGAGGCAACAGATGGCATTATCATTACAGTCAGTGGCTTCATAAATAGATCAAGAACACGTGAAAATGGCTTTCCACCGAAGGTATGTTTGGAAACCATTGTTCTTATTTCTCCTTTCTGTTACTACCCTCCTTAATATTATTGGAAATATCTTGAAACTGAGGAAAATTAATGACATACAACTTGAGCAGGTGTACAATCATTTCCTTCTTGGTTTTCCCTTCAATTGGAAAGACTATATGTGTTCTAGTTCGGATAAAAAATCTCCTTTCCAGTGTATTCAAGCAAGTACCTCTCATTCTGGCCGTCAAGGTACAAGCCATAGTTTAGAACCTGACTTGGATGATCTTGCGGTAACTAGGTTGCAAGATATCTTCTTGTCCACTTATGGGGAATCTAGTCATTACCTCTTTGCGAAGAGCCCAAATTCAGTTAGTACTCCAATGGAAATTTTTAAGTCCGGACTAAATAAGACCCCCAAAGTTTCTCAAAGAGTAAATTCCTATCAAGATCTGAAGGAACAAGGTTTCCAGGATGAGGGGAAAAATGATGTCGTAAAGGATCCATTGCACGCCAGTCAAGAACCTAAATCTAAAACCGACATGGAATTCCCGATTTCAGGAAGCAGAGGTGTTTGCACAAGAAGCATGTCAAAGTTGAAAAATTCTAGGAACAGAAGTAAAGAGAGTCTCATGTCAGACTCTCGGAAGAGGCAAAAGCATCGGGAGAATAACTCTTCATGTGAAAACTTAGGCAAGGGAACTGGACAGAAAGTTAAAAGTAGTTCAAATGTTACATCAAGACACGACTTTTCTATTAGATCTGATAAGGATGTTGACGCAAGCACAGATAAATCTAAGAGTAGAAGATCAAGTCTTAGGCTGATGAACAGAAAGCAGAATCAATAAGTGATATGCTCTGAGTTTTATGAAATGGTGAAGGTATGAGATTAGTATAATTCACTCCGAGTTCATCCCATAAAGATGGATATGTAAATCAAGCATCTGCTGACTTTTGAGTTCAGCCTAAGGATCACTGTCAGACATTTGAGTTCAGCCCCCGGATGCGATCCATCTTGGCTGACTTTTGCAGTATGACCTCAGTGGTTTTTCGGTTATTAAATATTGTCTTTGAAGAGATTCTTTTGCCTCAATTCTACTGGCAGGGTCTAGGAAAGGTAGAAATTATCCCACAATTGTAGATGTCTACTTTTTTTTCTTATTACTGTGTATGCATATGAATTGCTTCTGAGAGGATGTGTATTTCTAAGGATTTAGAAAAATGGTAATCTCCTTTTGGGATCCAATTGATTCTTTTGGCTTATGAACAGACTTCTATATTCCTATGAGATTCGGTGGAAGAGTTTCTTTCTTTGCTTTGAATTTCTCTGCCCTTTTACTTTTACTTTTCCTTTATTTGATCTGTGTGGATGTGAATGGTATAATCTTGATGATTGATAGTTGTGAGTTGTGACCACATTGGACCTTGTAGCCGTATTAAATATTTCGAGTTTGTCCATCTTTATTCTTTGCAATAGTCTTGTTACTTTTTTACATTACAGGGGATATGTGTTACATATTTACATACTAATATAATAGATATATCATATATACTAACAGTACATATGAGTTACATACAATGGATTGAAAACTGAAATCATGCACCACCCCACCCTAGAATCTTTTTTTCTTCTTTTTTTTTTGTTGTTTTTTGTTTTTCTTTTTACAGTTTGAACCCTGAAATGTAGAGAGAAACAAAGATGAGCACTTTACCACTTTTACACGTTGCTCACATCCACAACAGAGAATAGTTGTGTGCAAACATCCACCTTAACATGAATATAGTTCGGTGGTAATTGACACGTACTCTTTTCATTGAAGTCGGAAGTTCGAACCCATACCTCCAATTTGATTTTGTTGTACTATAAAAAGTTATTATTATTTATATATTTTTTTAAAGATTAGTTACGGGATGAACTTGTCTCTTGAGAAAAAATAAATAAAAAAAAATCTATTAAAAACTAGAAGATTTCAAGACCTCTTTTTTTAATATTTAGTATATGTGGAGATGAATATTTGAATTCACAACTTCTTTTGGTCGTAGATAGGTGTCAATTACTGTTGAACTATACTCATGTAAGGTTAAAAAAGAATGTCGTCTACCTCCACAATGTCGTCTACCTCCAACTGTGTAATTAAAGCTACAATACTTTTAAAAATAATTTGTAAGTATTTATATTTGAATAATTAATTATTACTTTTTAAAATATCAGAAAAAACTCGGTAAGCATGAAGCCATTGGACAAAAATGAAAAATTTTTACCCATTATTATAATATAGATTTATCAAGAGGCTCATTTGTGTTGTTATACCTTGTAAATATGTCCTTAAATGAGTTCATCCTAAAATAAACTTTAATCTAAACAATTGACAGACCTCAAAACCATCAATGCAGTACCTATATCTAAAGGTAGATGCGAAGGAAAATTACTACTGAGATTCAGCTATTCATCGCTCCAATACGTCCCTTTTCACTAATATATATATATATATATATATATATGTAGTAGCAACATAAGAACAAATAGTAACATTAAAACAAGAATTGGACGTCACAAATATTCACTTTATCAGATGAAGTCAAAAGTCAAGGCAATACTTTATTCGGATCCCAAATCTTGAAAAGGAAATCGGAAGCAAATTGATCTCCACTCCCCGTCCAAGACAGGGCATAGGGTCTGGGGATCCTTTTTTCTTCTCTTTTTCCATCTCACCAAACAAAAAGTTGGGGGAAAAAATGTAAATCAGTCACCCAAAAAAATCTGACACATTGTTTTCCATCCTTGTTACAAAGAATGACAGCAAGAATTTTGAAAATTTGCAACTATAGAATGTTCAAATACACGTGACAATTACTTTTTACACAAATGAAATATCAAAAACCAAAAGGGGGAAGAAAAAAAAAAGAGAAACTAAAGTTTGTGTCTGTTTCTTTGTTTTTTTTTCCTATCTTTTTTTTCTTCTTTTTTCTGGATAACAGATAAGCTCATTATCATCATTATCAACTGCCAAAGTATTTTCTACTCTCGCGATCTGAACAAAAACTGGGCCTCCAAGCAAGAGTGGTTTACAACTTACAAGTTCACCTACCAACAGATTTATAACTTCTGTGCTCAAACAGGTACACGTCTACCCCGATATTTGTCAACGAACTGCAACAGCAGAAAACACAGTCCAGAAAAATTAACAACGCATACTCGGAATTCAAACAAAAACTCAATGCTGACTGATTTGGACTACTGCAGATTAACTAGTCCATGAAAGTAAATGCAGAAGGAAACCAAGAATTTAGTACAGCATGATGTAAACTAATACGTTAACCAGGATGATATTAGAGCATTTGGTATAGTTTCAGACACCAGGGAAAATATTGGCCATATTGAAACTCGTAGAACTTCGATAGAACTCCATTAGAAAGGAAAAGGATAAACCTTAACCTTAACCCTACATCATGACCTATAACCTACCCCCACAGGGAAAATTAAATATAATAAAACTCTCTTCTAACTACTTTTATTCATCACTCTTCTCTTCTCATCCTCTTCCCATTAGTTAATACCACTCTACATTGTTCACAGTTAGGTTGGCTATCTCAGAGAAGTTTGCACCTCCTGCATCTCTGTAAGGACTAAGGTGGCTACGCTCAGTAACATTGGGTATTTGTTATATGCATTCACTACCTTACTCTCCCACCTAGGTTTTTACCGTATATATAAGTCATAATCTACGAGCTTGGCAATTCACGAAGATAATGACACCCTACCAACCTATGCTCTGAATGAAATATGGGACTTTGTTGGTCCATTGGAAAAGCAAATCTTCATCCATATGGTCTCCATTTCCTTATAGTCATCCCTATGGCTAATAATGCACTCTCCTCGTGAATTGCCTTATGCATATATGTCAGAGAAGAACAAATCAGAGACTGAAGAAAGCCACTGGCCTTGGATCCAATGTCGACATCTAGGGCATCTGTTTCAATGATAATAGGTTTTGAAAAGTTTGGAAGTGCCAAAATAGGAATAATAATCATGGCTGTCTTCAGCTTCTCAAAAGCATCTTGGCTAGCCTTATTCCATGAGAAGCTGTTCTTAAGTTGTTGTGTCAAGGACATGGCAATTATGCCATGATTGTCTACGAATTTACAATAGTAGCTACAGATGTTCAATAATAGCCCGTTTCCTAGTTATCAATAAGTCTCATATTTTATTTTCCACCATTGATGTTGTACCAAATTGTTTCTCACTCTTCTTTGTGTAATCTATTGACAATGAACTATTTAATATTGTACTACTTGATGCAACAATCTGGATCCTCACATTCAATTTCCAAATATCAACATCCCCAGCATCCAAACTTTTGTGTCAAAGGTGACTCCATTACAACCTCCACTACTACCTTCCATCTTGTCAGCCGCACTTTGGAATAGCACTTGCATTTCTAAAGAAGACATCTGGCATCCTTACATTTATTTCCAGGAATTGAAGCTTCTAATTATCACCACATTATCTTTAGTTGCTTCACTCAAGTTTCCATTACCTTATCCATTGATTTATTTAACTCCTTCCCAACATTAGAAAGTTTATGCTTAACGTTGGTCTGTATGACCACAATCTTCTCTTGACTTGTACTACTTCTAGTCTTGTCTCCATCTTTTTTGGTCAGACCATTCCTAGTACTTCACTGCTCTGATGCCATGTGATATAAACCAAGCAAGAATTCCATAATGAAAGGCCAAAGATACAAGATTGAGGTATTTTGGGAGACCCCAATGCTATCCTTATACTAGATTCCACGAACCTAATACCCGCACCTTACATCATCACCTATATAATCCCCGCCTCCAAGATTTTTATCTTTTAACCACCTTTACTCCCTTTCTCTTCCTCACTCATCCTCCACCAATTAGCTAAAACCGCTTGTGGCCTATATATCTATATTGAAAATAATGTAACTCAATATGTAACTATTAATTCAAAGAGAAAACTCCATGGAATAAAATAATTATAACTAGATCAAAATTGATCCAAACAACTGATAAAAAAGTATGAACTAACCGATCTGACATATGGTTGCTGGAATAACCATCCAAGAATAGGAATTTTCTGAAGAAAGACTGCCAATGTTGGCCAGAAGCCACTGCACATCAAAATTTATTAGCATACAGCACAACCAAATATTAAAAAAGTATATAATGCAAATTGAACTTGTGGCCGCATATATCCAACAAACCTGAAAAGGACAACAAAACCATATGCTTCCAACATCATGCCAAACATCGGCCATCCTATGATAACAAAGAAGAACCCTACACCAAAAGAAATTGTTCCCTGCACAATTGAAGAAAAGTACATCGTCAAAAAAAATGCATGCATGATAAAAGGCAGGCAAGAGGGGAAGAGTCTCTCAAGCACGTCTAACCTTATAATTTTGACGTTTCATAAAGAATTGCATGGTTGACTTGAATCCAATGGTGAGAGTTACTCCTGAGATAAACAGGATCTGATTCAGTGAATCAGAAAAGAGAGGTGGTGTTAAGAGCTGAATTTGGAATTGAATGAATTATAAACCTTTTTACTTTGGTTGAAAAAAATATAAAGTTAACACTTACATTTCCCATGGCAAGTAATCCCTTGTCAAAGAAGAAGACAATTCCCAGGAATGAGAAAAATATCCCAAATCCAGTAAGTCCTAGTCCAATCTCTGCTCATTTGCAATCCTCGTTAATTTCATTACAAATTAACAATTCCATATAAGAATCAAAATAACTAATAAAAATCACATAGCCTGCACTCCTTTATAAATGAATTGTTCCAAACTAGACACAAAAATCAATAAAATATGCAGAGCATTGAATATGTGTCAAAGAAACCTAGGACTGAATAAGATACAAATTTATATCAATAGTAACTGGGCACTAAACTTAGTGAATGACCGTAATTTTATTCCAGCACATTTCGATTCCTAGAACGCAAGCACAGACGAGAAACAAAACAAAAGTACTAGATTAACGTCATTATATTACCATTACCTAAGTCTGATTAACAATACTCAACCCTAAGACCAACAGAACACTCATTTCAAACTTTAAAATTACCAAATAACAAACGCAATAAAATGATAACATAACAGTGAAGAAGCCTAATCCTAAACCAACAACTAATAACCTCATATGAGAAACAGATCCAACAAAGATAAAACGTCGAAAAAAAATTGAACTCACTCTTGCGGTCATTCATTTCGAAGGAAACCATATCTGCTGAAACTAGAAATTCACCTCCCTGCCTTCACTGCAGAAATTGCAAAACGAAAAAAAGAAAAAAGAAAAGAAGAATAAAACTAGTTAATCAAATAAGCAACACAACTTCAATCGGCAAAATCCTAGGGTTAGCACGGCAAATAGAGAAAAGTCGTACAAGAACTAGATGAAGTTCAATCTCAATCAATCAGGAGAACAAAGAACTAGGATTCGTCAACGAATCTAAGAAAACTTACAACACACACATATATAGCAGATAGGGAGAGAGATTTTTACATGAATCGAATCAGTACGAGCAGAAGAGAGAGCGCCAAATCACAGTACGATTATTCAACAAAAACGAAACGGAAAATTCAAGGAATATGAATCTTCCGCGCAGAATTTTTTGACGATGATCTTGAGAGTGAAAAAGAGAAGAGGGAAAGAGAGCGAGAGGAACCTGAAGTGCAGACAGAAATGGATGAACTCTACACGAAGAGGAGAGCTGTGCAGGCACGTGCGAGTGGGCAGATGGCAGATGCGATGCGATATCCCACAAATATATATATATTTTTACAAAATATATAAAAAAATAAAGTAAAATTGGAAACTTGGAGTGGAAGGGAACTGATGACTCTTAACCAATCAGAAAGCGAGGAATGGTAATTTAATTTTGATTTTTCCATGCTCTTGTCTTAAATAAATCTCATTCAATTTCTTACATAGTTTTTTTTTTTAATTTAAATACTACAACGTAGATGAGATATCGGTGTCCAATACTTCAAGTTATGTTTCCATCGTGATTTGTAAATCTTTATATTAAGCTCATTTTATTATGAGATAATTAGATAAATGATAAGATAAAAATACGTATTTATCGAACATGAATTTAGTTCAACGATAATTGACACGACTAAAAACTTATGAGTTCGAATATCCTAATTTACTTGTTGTACTAAAAATAAATAATAAAATACATATTTTTACCTAAATAATATGCTTTTTTTTTTAATTGAAAGAAAAAAGAAGGAGAAACTATTACATGAGAAGAAAAACAACGGTAATATTTTGGAAATTAAAGTACTGACATTCCTTAGAATAAATATAAAATATTTGTCTGCCCTATATAGTTTTCTATTTTTATTAGTTTAAATGAAAATTTTAATTTTGTTAAATTTAAGTCTAAATTTAAATGGGCGATGAAAATTGAAACCAAATATTTCTCGGTAACTAAATTATAAATTATTAAAGAATCTGGATGAATAAGTAAAAGTCAAGTAATCAAATGGTGAAAATTAAGTCATAGAAATGTCCAAAATCAATCGTAAAAATATGCTAAATCCTAACTATAAAGATGAAACTCGACAATAAAATGTCCAAAATCCAAGCAAAAGGTATCAAATATAATCGAAATAATTTTTAGTTTGTCTGACTACAATAGTGTTTCACATTTAGCTACCATTAAAAAAAGGAAATATAATCTTTTTTTTGGGATAATTGACATATATTTCCAACCAGAGCGAGCTCAATCGTAATTGACATATATCTCTCAAAATTTGTGAGTTGAAATTCTCTGATATTGTACTAATAAAAGAAAAATATATATCTCTTAACAAATATACTATTTTTCATTTTCTTAAGCAAAATGAAGGTACCTTAATCTAAACCATCCACCCAGTGAAAGAGTCAAATTCCATTAAACTATGGACACGTTTTCTAACCTATCTACTGCTAAAAATTTGGAAATTATAATTTTTTTAATTATGCCATTTTGTTTGCTCTAGTAAAAGAACATATATATATTATATGTTCTTTCCACCATTTTTGGTGTGGCCAAGCTTGGGAATCAACCGCGGAGCCTCTTTTTGTCTTTGCCTGAGTTGAGTTGAGACCACCGTTCTCTCTCTCTCTCTCAACCTTCAATTCCTTAGCTCTTCATGGACTAATGGAAACCACCACAACTACACTCTGCCATTTTCCATTTACTCCCCATCTCCATAACCACCACATCCTCCGCGGCCTCTACTCTCCGGAGCCCAGGTTCTTCACCACTCTCTCCTGCTTCAAGCCACGCCGTCGAACTCGCCGGAAAAACAAGCTCAACAAGCTCCACACCACTCACTTCCCCACCCACTCCACCGTCGACTCCTCCTCCTCCGACTCCAACCTCCAAACTGTCATTGAACTCGACCACTTCGCCGCTGAAGCCTCCTCTCTCTTCTACTCCGTCTACTACTCCTCCCGCTCCCAATTTCGGCAGTTTCTGTCATCTGGATTCGACGCTTTCGACGATTTGCGGACATTGATTGCCTTCGATGACCAGAATCGCACGCTGACCGTCTCGTGTCGGCGTTCCACTGTGGAATTCGTGGGCCAGTTGGTGCTATTGAGCTTCGTCGTTGTCTTTGTTGTTAGGGTTGTACTTGGAATCGGATCTCGTTTGCGTAACAGATTTAATTCCGGGTATGCTGCTCCCGTGGTTCGGAGGGACCGGAGCCTTGGGGGACGAGAGGTTGTTGTTGCGAGGAATGTTGTTCCGCGAGATAAAGCTACGGCGGCAAAGAAGAACAATCTTCTTGGGTTATTGGATACTCCGCTGGCTTCAATGGCTATGGCTGATGTTTCGGATGAAGTTTCGAATGGGGTTTGGGTAGGAGAAACGCTGCCAAAATGGTGGCCTCCGGCAGTTCCCAGACGGATTTCCACCGTGAATAGGCAGGAGTACCAAATAGAAGCTAACAGATTAGTCCGAGGTTAGTGCAATTTGTTGCTTGAATTTTAAATAATCATGTAATTTTAGGACTTCATTAAGCATATTTCTCGCAGTGTTTCTGTGTCTGCTGATAAAATTTGTATGACTTTCATATTGTCATTATATTATGCTCTTGGTTGCAATTTAAAGCCCGAACTTAAGTACTTGATTTCCAGCCCTCGTGGACAATAGAATGACCGGACGGGATTTCATGGAGGATGATATTGTTCAAGTAAGTGCTGTTCTTTATTGTACAGTAATTTTCTTGTATACTGAATATACGCAATTTTCACCTATAGTTTATTATCATGTCTCCTACGATAAATTCATGGATTTTTTTTTTGTCAAAACACAAAGATAAGTAATAAAATATGGGATAAAAACGGAATCACTGGAATGGGAACATTGAGGAGTTTCAAGGACAATACTTGCAGATTAAAATTTCACTTTTTCAATCTGTTTCTCACTTGGTCTATCGTTTTCCACTTATGTGTAGATGTATTTTCAATTTTGTAAATGACGTGTATGGATGAATAGAAGAGTAATCTTATCCATATCATGATGTTATAGGCAACATACTAGTGTTCAGCATATGTGCAATCTGTATGTGTCTGGATATACAGATAGATATGGCAAGGGTAATTACTTTTATCTTGTATTCTTGTGTGCAATTATTTGAGAGATTATGTCTGGAATTATTATGTGTGGCATTTTTCCTTGCCTGGTGATATATATTATGCATTCAATGATTTTAGTACTTAGTATCTCTTGACAATTCAAAATAAGATTTGAGGTGTGGTGTAATTTTCTTAATAAAACATGAACGGAAACCTTGCCAATTCAAGTTTGCACGGTGTGAAAGTTAAATTTAGATTTGTTACAACCAGTTATATCCATTAAAAGTTAATCAGATTTTTGGCTGAATTTTTAATCCCACATGTTCTTATTTTGCTTGGCATACGGATGAGCTTTTCAGATTTCATGGTTTCATTCCTGAAATTCATTGCAACTCTGCTGAGTTGATTTTACTAATATCAACTAATACTGACGTAGTAAATTGTTAAGGAAAGGAAAACCTGAAGCTATTCACTCAGCCCAACGCAAATGCATAACCTAAAATAACAGAATGTCATACAATACTGAAGTACTACGACCTCAAGGGTAAGGACCAAATAACATAAAGGAGCCATAAACTGGTCCCACGTGTACTATAACATTTCTAACACTAAATTAGAAAAAAGATGCATACTTAAATAACAAACTGTAGGGGTGAACTAAACAATCAACTTATCCGTCATGACAAGCCTGGAATTTGTAAAGGATATAGATCAACCATGTCATTACAACTTAAATAAATTGGGCTAGATTATAGTGTTGATCAACAAATGACTTTTCTATTATGTGATGGCTATGGTTAAGATCTTACGTCTTACAGTTATCCCACGATACATCTTGTCAACTTTAACCAAAAGGATATGTGTTGTGCCAAGATTTCCAAATTGGCATATCTATTGCATATAGAAAATTTCTTTCTATTCGTGAAAAGCAATGTTTATAACCAATATTCCATTTAAGAAACCGTCTCTTTACTTTTTCCTCCGTTAATTTTGATGGGAACTTTTCATTTATGCATGACCTTGTCGAGTTTGGCTGAAATTTCCATCATTAATAGCACTTGACTTTCCTTATTGCCATAGCTGATCTCTTTATTATTGCCTGCACTTCTCTTTGCCTGAATGGATGAGCAGTTGCGTCAAATATGCAGGATATCTGGAGTAAAAGTATCGTTCAACACAGAAAATATGCGTGATTCGTTCTATAGAAGATCTGTGGACTTTGTTTTGAATATCTATAGCAGGTAAACTTTATACTACTGCTCCTATAAGTACATGCTGTATAAGAGAATGAATCATGGTAAATCTCATATTCTAGTTCTGGATTTTATTAAGGTGATTTTACTGAGATCTGTAATGTTCATGTGAACTGTAACTTATTTAGGAATTTACAGGATTCCATTTTACTCTGACTCAATTCTCATTAATGGTGAGGATGGTCGAAATTTTGTTGCTGGGCTTGCTGAGGACATTGGCATTGAGAATGTTCGTGCTGCCAGGATTGTTTCTGCTGCTGTTGCTGCTAGAATGCGTTCATGCTTTTTGCAGGCCTGGGTAAATATTTTTATAATATCCAATGATCTCATGCTGTCATATGCTCGTATCTTGTAATGAGTATTGGTAACCCTCAAATTATAAATACGGGAATCTTCTTATGAGAAACTTAGTAACAACAATGGAATTGTGAGCAAGAATCTAACATTACTGGATAAGAACTTCAGGGTATATATATATATTGACCAAATAACTTGGGTAAAGTTCCCATATACACATCACCCGCCCTTCCCCATTTGAAGAAAAAGAACTACTCTGTATAAAGAAACTGAAACAGAGGAAAGCTTCTTTTTACTTTTATTTCTCCAAGTGTGGAGGAACTTCAGTTATGTCTATATACGAAATCTAAAGTTTTACAATTTGTTACCGTAGTGTGTGAAACACACATTGTATTTGGAAGTTGGAGCTGGACAGAAACTTTTTAGAAAGCATCTCACTTAGCCTTGGACATGGAGGAACTTATCTTTCCATCTTTTTGTGTATTTTCCCCCTGTGATTTATATGATTTACTATACACCGAAGAACATCTAATGAGTCAATTGTATCACACCGTAGGCTCTGGTTATGCAAGATAGGCATTCTGAAGCAAATGCAGAGTTGTTGAAGATCTGTCACATTGTCCAGATATTTCCTCCTGAGGAATCCTCTGTATGTGTTCAGTGTTCTGAACCTTCTTTAAACTGCTAGCTATCACGTGCAGTAAACTATAATTATTTTTCTGATGTTATCTTTGCTGTTTATTCAGCCTGAGATGGAGATGTTGACGCTCGGCTTGAAGAAACACTTGAAGGTAGAACAGAGGGAATCTTTAATGAAAATGTTTACTGGTGTCTGTGGTAAAGATAGTCATAGGACCGCTGCAGAAGCTCTCGGTTTGGTATGCCCTTAATACTCCCTCTCTCTCTCTAGCTCTCTTTAATTTAAAGGTCTATTATTGCTTGTTGTATATCTTAGGCATCTTTCTTATCCACTTCAAAAGAATTTGTCAGAGGAAAATCATCTACCCAGGACATTTGATTTGATACATGAATGAGTATACATTATACAAATGGGTTCATTAGTTTCTTTGGGTATGAATAATTCATTCATTTCCCATTTATTTGTATTTTCAAGTACAGACATGATGTTTGATTCTTGGGATTTGATATTTCGTTAAAATTTGGTAGCTTATGGAAAAATGAATACGAATGACTGGTAACTGGTAACTGGTTGCAAAATACAAATTAGGCCTTAAGAATTACAAATAGTTGATGAAGTTGGCTTGACTTGTGCTCAGGCAATGTAAGGCACTAGTAATCTACCCCATAGAGTTGTGGGTTAGGAAAACTTCTTCTTTTTCTTCCCTCCTTTCCCTTTGACGTTTGTACTTTAGTTGAGTGACTCAAGGTTTAGACTTTTTAGTGAGTGTAGCTTTCTATGGCTGTGGGGCTGTTTTAAAAAATAGTTTTGGAAATTTCGATGGCGGCTTTGAGCCCCATTTTGTTACTTAATTTTGTGGTAAAATTTTAAGTGTTTTATGGTTTGAAATTTGGGCGATTCATTAAATAGTTTTTGCCATTTGTAGAACTTCATTACTTTATTCTAATTTTAAGACTCATTTTAGGGTGATAATTTTTTTTTAAAATATTAAAATCGACTTGCCCAACTTAGCAGAAGTATAGAAAATAAATTTCTCCTCATTCTCTTGGCTAAAGAGAGGGAGAATGATGGTGAAGGTCGCGAATAGAAGCATAACTCCTATGGTTAAAGTAAAAGGTCAATGATCGAATCTTTACCACTACATTGTTGAACTAAAAAAAGCGGGAATGTTGCGTTTTCGTGTTCTTTTGTTTAAAAGAATGGAAGATCAGTCTGTATCTT